AGGGGTCTCAGGTCATTGCTGATGGCACTGGAAGAGCCAGCTCCAGGTGGCAGTGTCAGCTGCCGCAGGAGCTGCTCTCACAGGGTGTCCCTGGATCCCACCCGGGATCCCAGCCCGCTCCCTGACGTTCCTCCTCCTCCTCGGGGTGTAGAGAGAAGGACAACGAGCCCCGAACACGTCACGGTGATCCCGATCCCACCCGCGCCCGGCGCCGCTCCAGGAGCTACTCCCCAATCAGGAAGAGGAGACGTGACTCCCCCAGCTTCATGGAGCCCAGGAGGATCACGAGGTGGGTCCTGGCACGTGGCAAAGGCTCTGCCATGTCCATTGGCACATCCCAGGGCTGAGCTCTGCCATCAGCCGGCCCCAAAGAGCGCGTGGGTGGGGGAATGGACAGGCAACAGATGGATGGATGGACAGATGGATGGATGGATGAATGGATGGATGGATGTATAGATAGATGGATGAATGGATGGACAGGTGGATGGGTGGATGGGTGGATGGACGGATGAATGGATGCATGGCCGGCTGACTGGCTGGCTGGACGGACAGACAGATATATATATGGATAGATGGATGTACAAACGGATGGGTGGATGGATGAATGAGTGGGTGGATGGGTGAGTGGGTGGTTGGATAGGTGGATGGATGGACAGACCTGCAGATGGATGGATTGGCGGATGGACGGATGGACAAAAGGATGAGCAGCTCTGCTGATGGACAGACAATCCTGAGGGTGACTGGGTGAATCAGCTGGCCCAGACAGCTGGATAACCAGACTGCCTCCAATACTACGACCTTCTGATCTCTTCCTATTTCAAGGCATGAAAACAGGAATTAATTTTAATCCGGCTGTGCATATTCCAGAAAGACGCACATCCGCAACCACATCTCTCCTCTGCCCTCCCAAAGTCGATTTCTCCTCCTTGGGATCCTATTGCCTCAGGATCCCGAGCTGTAAGACAGGCAATATTTCGTGCCAGACAAAACACTGTGTGCATATGTAGCACCTCGTTAACATGCAGCGCTGGCAGCGGGGCCGTGCCGAGCCGAGATTACCTCCTTCCTGACCTATTTGTCTCTCCTGCTATCAGCTGGGAGATCAGGGGGCTGGATTTTCAGAAATCAGCTCTGCCTCACTGTGGGAGGGATTTTGTTTTGCCTGGGCTGGACTGGAGTTGTCAGGAGGAGAGGACAGGAGGAAGGACAGGAGCAATACTGCAGAGCCCATGGGTTAGGGCTCCCTGCAGCTCTTCCCAGTGTATGCCCTGGAAAGAAAATGGGCTGGGAAATCTGCTCCCAGCCCAGAGGAAGGTTTTTCCCAGCCCGGGTACCACTGTTTGGTTTTCCATCCCTCCTGCTCCATCCTGGTTTTGCCAGAATGTCCCCAGGGAGATGGCAGGGCTCAGTTGGAGGACACAGCCTGCAATCCCTGTGAGGACTGTCCCCCCATCGCTGCCATTATCCCTGGCATGGATGGGGATGGCAGACCCAAATCTGCTTGGGGTTCAGGAGGAGCAGAGCCATTCCTATAAGGCCTAGAGGACGCTGTGGGGAAGGGGCAGCTGGGGAAACACCTCCAGCCCCCCTTGCCTGCCCCATAGTCCAGCCAGAACCCCCAGGGCTTTTCCTTGCCCTCCTGCCCTGTCCCCAGTTCCCATCATGCCCCCCCATCACATGGTCCTACCTCAGTGATGCCAACCTCTCCTTTTCCATTTCATCCCAAGGTCCCTCTCGGAGAGCATCGCCGCCAGCCTGGCTCCCAGGGTAACCTCTCCCCTTCCTCCTCCTCCTCCTCTTCCTCCTCCTCCTCTTCCTCCCGGACCCCTCTATGTCTCCTCACACCTTAGGATGCCCTCGGCACCCGGTTGCCTTCAGGCCGTGCCTGTGGCTCTCTGGTCCCACTAACACCAGACCGGGAGAGGGGGCAAGGGGCTGACTCCTGATGTCTCTGCCCCCCGTGGCCTCCATTCCCACTGCCCCCGTGCTTCCCGTGTCTCTCCTCTCGCTCCGGCGCCGGCGGGGCCGCAGCTCGCCTCCCGCTAATCCCGAACGTCTCTTTTTCAGCAGCTTTCAATCTTTGGTGTCTGGGAAACACAAAGGCCACATTAACCTGCTCACTTTCTGCCCTCGACGCTGCCTAATCCAGGACTAACACCCCGGGGGGCGGGGGGCGGGAGGGAGCTGGGAAGGAGGAAGGGGATGGATGGAGGGGGGAGGTGACGTCGGGTGGCCACATCCTGACGCCCCGCAGGCGGTCTGAGCCTGGTCGCGGGGATGCTCGGCTTCCCTGGGTGGATGCTTGGCCGTGCCGGAGGTCCAGTGCTGGACCCCCTCCCCGAGCTGCCGCCGGGGGCCTCACTCAGATCCCTTTTTCCATTTGCAGTGCTCGCAAGCGTCCCATCCCCTACTACCGGCCCAGCCCCTCGTCCTCCAGCTCGCTGAGCACCTACTCGTACAGCCGGAGCCGCAGCCGCAGCTACGACAGCTACAGCTCCAGCCGCAGCCGCAGCCGGACTCGCAGCCCCCCCAGCCGCTCCCGCAGCCCCAGCCGCAGCCCCAGCTACAACAGCCGCAGCAGCTCGGAGAGCGCCGGCTTCTGAGCCCCCCTGGCACCCGGCCGCAGCCCCCCGGCACCCCAGCTCTGCCCCCTCCATGCCTCCTGCGCCCCCAGAAGGGACGGGACCACCGGGGAGGTGGAAAAGAGCCGGGGGATGCTAAGGACGGACCTTGGCGGCGGGGGAAAGCGCCGACGGAAACTGGAAGGGGTCCTTGCGTCGCCCATGGAAGGGGCGGTTCCCTCCCCGCTCCGGGGTGTTTTGGGGGTCGGGATGGGGAAGGGGAGGATGTCTTCTTATTTCTGCGAGTGCCGGGGCGGGGTCGGGTGGGGTGGGCGAGCACAGAGCGAGGGAACAAACGCTCAGCAGAGACTTTGGGGCGAGTGGGTAGGGGTGGCTCGGGGCCTCCCGGGACCCCTCCCTGTGCTTTTTTGGGTTGGTTTGACTGTTTTTTAGCACAAGAATATCCGGGGGAGGGGGGTGGGGGGGCGTGGCAGGCTCAGCTGGAAGGTGTGATGCCAACCAGAGGTGAGCCCCTGCTTTTCCCCATTGGAAGTGTCCCCACAGTGTCCTGGGGGCTGAGGGCACCATAAGACACTTTGGGGTTCCCCCAGACCTGAGAACATGCCGAGCCATGGATGAACAAAGCCAGCAGCACCCACAAGTCTCTTTCCAAGTGGGGAGATCCAGGGGGGCCACCTATGTGTTAATGCTGCTCATCCCAGCTCAGGAGCTGGCCCTGGCACCCATCCATCCCACCCAATCTGAGGGGACACCAAGTTGTCACCCCCAGGAGGAGGGAGCTGCAAGGCCCAGGGCTGGGCAGGGGATTTCCCACCCCTGGGGGTGCATCCAGCCATCCCCTGGCTTTGGCATGGACCCCACCTCTGGGCTGGCTGCCCCCAGGCCCTCCTGTTCTGGGGTTGAGCAGCCCCTTTTTACACTGAATTATGGAAGGAGAGAGGCAGGAGGGTCCCGGGCCTGGCCCGCGGCCCCGCTTTTGCAGGACTTTGCTGATTTCCCAAAAAAAAATAGCGCCGAGGACAGCCCTGGCCCCCCGGGGCAGTCGGTTGGTGTTTAATCCTTGTGGCCCTGCGTTTTCCGGACGGCTGGAGCAGGACAATGGGGATGAGCCTCCCTGGGTGGGAGAGCAGCTGCCCGGATTAACCCGCTGCCCCCGATGAAAAGCCGGGCTTTGGCCGTCCCGAGGCGCTGGTTTGCAGGCGCTGGTTTGCAGGCGCTGGTTTGCAGCCAGGCGGGGCCGGGGCATCCTTTGGACTCGGGCTCAGCTGTGATGCGACAGCCTCGTTAGCCGTGGCCTGATGAACCAGAGGTCCCGGGAGGGCAGAGCTGTGAGAGGAGGGACACTGGGGTCATCTCCCAAATCTGGAATGCTGAGAAAACAGGCTCAGCCACAGGCTGAGGATTCACCAGCCCTTGGAGAAAAGTCCCAGGCCATGATGGGTGCCAGCCCTTGGGTATCCCATCCACCAGCTGGCAAAGCCACCAGCCACCTTCTGTGGTGCCCAGACAAGCAGAGCTGTTAGAAATGGGGTGAACAGGTAAGGAGGGGACTTGTGCCCACCTGCCAGCCCCAGGCAGGGCGGCAACTCTGGATGTGACCGTGGTAGGAGGAGGAGACAAAGGGTCCTGCTCCCCCTGGGCCCCGGGAGATTGGAGGACACCAGTGCCCTCAGCATCCCTACGAACCCCTGAGCCACGGGCTCCGAAATCCATCC